GAAAGGAAAGGCATTCAGCATGTTACTGTGCCTACTGCAATCCCTGCCGATCAGTTCTCCCTCATCTTTCGTCATTGCCTCGTTACCAGCCTGAGCTGTACGCTCTTGGCAGCAAAGAGCATCCTTTTATAGAATACACGTCTGCTATATCCAGCTGAGCGAGGCCCTGGCCTCCAATGACAATTTTTAGGCTCTCATTGATAAAAGTAAAAACAGGCAATTTTACTTCTTACAGTCACAACATCGATCAGGATTTCAAACCCCGGCTGAACACCCCCGAGCTCCTTCCATCCGCTCGTGAGGCTGCCCCAAGCAAAGCTGTCAGCTGGGACACTCTGCAGCGCACTGGGCGAAGAGGAGGCGCTGAGGAAGGCCGCCGGGCTGCTCCCAGTCGCAGGCTCCTGGAGGGAAACGAGGACTCGTAAAGCCAAGGCTAAGGGACCTGCCGCCAGACCTCCTTCCACCTGCCAAATGGCAGCGTTCACACACTTTAAATGGAGAGGCTGTTGGGTATGCAGCATGGGAAATCGCCCAACACTGTTTCCTCTCCAGGTGCCAGGAGTCTCCGTGAAGCCTGGAGCAGGTTTTATCTACCAAGCTGCCTTTTGGAGACGCACTCGTTACTTTTAACCAGACAGCAAGGCAATAAATTCAAAGACTCGGAAACTTCTAAGTCAGACCCCTTCCTGCCATAGGAAGACGGGCACAACAGGAACACTTTATTAGCTGGTGGAGTCCGCAGTCAACAACTGAGATGGGAACAGCATACGCACGCGAGCGTAAGGTGAGTGGCCTAGCTCAGCGCCAGGGACGTCATCGTTGGCGGTGGCCTCAGCGCATCTAGAAGCCTCCCCATGCCCGAGGATTAGGGTACCGCTTCCTAACACACCGCATTCGATCCGCCCGTGGGCTGCTACAGGCACCAACTCTCCTGCGCGGTTAGTTAGGGGGCTGCAGCACCCCTCAACGTTGCAGCTCTGACACCCTCCAGGGAAAGTGCGAGGCTTCTCTTTATTCCCTCCGCAAGCAGGAATTGTGCTCGGAAGGGCAGAGCTGACTCAGCCTCCTGCACCAAGGACAATACGAGCACCCCCCTTCCGCTGCCACGAGCGACTCCAAGGAGACCCAGCTTGAGAAGCCCTACAGCCACACTGCCAGCCTGACTGGGCGATGGGGGTGAACGGCTTCATTTCTGGGGTATCACCAATGCCCGACCTGTCGACAGAGGCCAGCAGGAAGCCCAGGGCTGAACCCCATCCCCAGCAAAACTGCTTGCAACTCCTGGAGCTTGTCACCACCCCAGGAGTTCCAGCCTTTGTTAAAGCCGAAGCTCCACACGCCCTACTCAGCTGCTACTCTGACTAACCCCTTTTTGACAGCACCACCAGGCCAACACCAACACTACCAGTGACACTGTTCAGTTGGGATTCTCCCCAGGACCAGCCAGCCCGGCCGCCAACAGCCTGTTAGGGTGTGCTCACTGCTCTAACACGAGGGAAGTGTGTGCCTGCACCAGGAGAGCGAGCCATCTTCCAGCCAGGTCGCATGGGGCTCAGCAATTAATCTTCCAGGTTCACAAGAAGCACAAAAACTGACTGTTTTGAGATACAAACCTAGTTTACACAGAGAAAACACATTTCCTTTTGGGGAAGCCAGAACAAGCCTGTTTACATTGTCATGGTGTTGTACTGCTGCAACAAAGAACACCCTACAGTGCTTGGTGGCTTCCCCCACCTTCCCAACACCGTTTGCCACACCTGCCACCGCCAAGTGACCGTTTGATAGCAGGGCTGCCCTCAAGGCAGCAGAGCTGCGCGCTCCGCTCACCACCGGTGCGGTGGAACGCGTTGGAAGTCCTGCCAGCACGGGAGCGCAGACAGCTGCGTCCTCTTGCAGGAAGCTGGCAGCTGCAGGCTGCACGGCCCAGCGCCTGCTCCGGGCCCAGCCTTCCAACCTCCGCTGCTGGCACAGCCTCCAAGCCAAGGCTAGTTCTCCTTGTCCTGTTCAAGAAGCTGCAGTGGCTTGTCTCAGGCCTTGCAGAGCCAGGAAGAATGTGTGAGTACCGATGTGGGAAAAGAAATAAGGGGAGTTCAGAGTCACGCATGAAGACTGACCAAAACCAAATCCTTTATTTCCACAACTGCATAAATGTGCTCCAAGTATGTGTCCAACACAAGTTAGAAAAACAGAACATGCCAGTTGCAAACCAGATCAGTTCACCGACGTGCTGACTCCTTGGGATTAGGCTGAGTTACACAAGACCAGTCACAGTAAAAAGATACATTTCAGAGTACAAAGAGTAGCGGGGTGTTAAGCTGTTTCAGCTGCGCACGCACAAGTCAGGCCTCTGGCAGGAACCGCAGAGCGGTTTGTGTCGTGATGCTGGAAGCTCTGTCGCGTCGCTTTAAATGGCGTCGATGTCGATATCGTCGTCTTTGCTGTTTGCAGGCTTCACAGTTTCAACTTTAGGTACACTGGCAGTTGTGGAGTACACCACCTGCAGAGACAGAGACACCGTCACCAATCGCTTGCTCTTCATTTCGCTTTTCTAGCGGACGCACACCCACCACCCCCTAAGACGGGGGCTCTACGCGGGCTACCCGTCGTCAGCCTTCACCCTGCGAGCTGCTGCCACGCGCCTGTGGCGTTACGCGGGTGGCCATGCGATGACGGGGATAGCCAGCACGCCCACAAGGCAGCAGGCGAGGCGTTCTGCTGGTCCCAGGGTACAGGAAGATGAGAAGCAAGCTGGAAATGCAACAAGATGTCAGCATGCGGGAACAGCATGACCCTGGAGCTGCCTGCAGTGAGCAAGCTCTTCCTACCTCTATGTTTTCATCTTCATCCTCTTCTTCATTACCGGAAGATTCCTCTTCAGCTTCCTTTAGCCATTTAATAAATGGTTCTGCTTTGACACGGATTTCTTTGGCAAGCTCCTTGGAAACGTATTTCTTTGAGGCCTGAAAGACCGAAGCACACAGACTCTGCGTGAACACTGAAGCAGCTCACATCACACCCAGATCAGCAAGAGCCCAACTTGGACCTCAAACCTCACCCCACTGCCCACAGCGACCCATTCCCAAAAGGGAGGTTTCTCCCAGGCAGTAACCTATCCCAGATTAGTTGTTTGAGGACAGTTGCACAAGCAGCTACACGAGAACGGAGAAGCCAGATGTAGCATGCTACATTCAGGTAAAATACCACCCCCTACCTTTTCTGCCCAGCCAAGGATGACTTCTTCCTCCAGAAGATCTGCATCATACATTTCCTTCAGAATATGTGGGATCTTGGAAATAAGCTGAGTTTGATGCATGGCTACCACACACTCAAAGCCATGGAGAAGGTACCTCTGAGCCTTCTTGTTGTTGTGACAGAACTACGATTGGGACAAAAGCAAACCCAATTAGATCAGGGTTCCCCCCCCCGCCCCCGCCTTCACAAAGGGCTTCTGCTCCCAACAGTACCAACGTTCCCAACAGCTCACACCATCCCTCCCAGCAGTTCTCCCCAGCCAAGGAGTGGTTTAAACCAAACAGCCATTCAAGGCCGCCTTCCCCAGAGCACCACGCAACCCAGACCCGAGCCAAGCAGTTGCCAGAAGCAGCTGACGAGGCAGCCGCCCCGCAGGGTGCTCAAGAGACCGCTTACACGAAGGAAGTGACGCCTGTATTTCCTTATCTGTTCACGAATCTTCTCATCGAAAAGGACTTCAGTGAGAACCAGCGGGCCCATGGCCTTCACGTCCAGTCTCTCTGCTTCAGCTACAATGTCTTTGTCAGAAGAATCAATGACACCTTCTTCCTTCTTTTTCTAGAGACAGGATGGGCAGGAGTGTTGTAAGGCTGAGGTCTGCACCAACGCACCACTCCCCTCCCCCATCCCCTGGCAGGACCAGGGCTTTGGCACAGGCTCAAGCTTCGCTGCCGTACCAACGCCGTATACAGCTGCGGCCGAGGAGCGACCAAGGCAGCCATCAGAGAACACTCACCTTCACAAAATCAAACAGGATGTTGACTCTCTCCTCCACGGTTCTTTCCAGGTCTTCACTAAGCGTGAGGTTCTTTGCATGGTCACTGATTTCATCCATCCGACGCCTCTGGGCTTCTTCTGTTGTGTCTTCACCCCAGTCATCATCCTCCTCCTCCTCCTAAAGAGCAGGACCATACCAACGGGTTCATGCAGTGTTACTACAAGCTCAGCATTAGGCAAGTGCTGCTTCTAGACACGGATTTGAGAGTGTTTTTATGAACGGGTACTTTGGATTTTTCCCTGAAGAAAGGGTTACACTGATTTGGAAGTCAAAGACGATGGAGAAATCAAGGGCAGATGTAATGGAAGCTGGAGTTGCGTCTGTAGCCGCCTGCAGGGTTACTTCAAGGGCAGTTTCACCACCCTAACTACTACAGTCACAAGGCACACTGCTTTTCAGGGACCTGGACCGTAAAGGGTGTACAGCTGTCACTCAGTAAGGAGCACCAACACCACTGCTGAAGGAGACAGTACATCTATTCCAGTAGTGCTGTTCTGCATACACTAAGAACTTCCAGTACAATGTTGACTTGCAAGGAGTACCAGTGATTTAGAAGCATTAAATCACAGCAAGACACCACACACATCCCCCCTTTCCCTTCTACTTACCACAACCTGTGGAGGAGTAATTTCCTCTGGTGGTGGGGGTGGAAGCGTCTCATTGCTGGACACAGAAACATTCTCTTTGTCCTTGCCTTTTCTGTTCTTCTTCTCCTTTTCTTTCTTTCCTGTACCAGCATCACCACTTTCTGCAAGTGAATGTTAGTGTTTTATTCCACAGACTAGAGAAAGCCAAAGCCCCCGCCAAATCCAAAAGTGGGTTTGGATGCTTTTACTAGCAGCAAGCCGTGTAGTGCCCACTCCCCGGGACATTCAGGGCAGATGTGTATCTGCCAGGGAAACCCCTGGTTCCAGTGAAAGTCATGTTGCTCATCAAAGCATAAGGTTGTCCAAGTCTATATAACAGGTGACCTCACAAAGCAGAGACCCCCGGAATAGGTTAGACTTTTCTGTTCTAGCAAGCTTAAATTGCAGCAGGCAACCAGATGCTTACTACAGAGTGTTGCTTGCACAGAACAAGTATGCTATGGTTCACATTTACTATACTGCTTTGACTTCCTACCCTCTGCTTCACACTGACTGAAAGACAGAACTGCCACGAGCTCCTGCTGACTAGTTCTCCTGCATAAGCAAATCCATCTCTCTCCCAAATACAGGATTACAGGACCACCAGGAAAGAGACTGCTCATATTGAGACCAGGAGCACAGCTACTTCATCCTGACCCACGAACACACTCCTGGAGGACATTGGTGCCTTTTTACACTTTTATTATAGATGCAAGCAATCTGGTTTTCTACTTTGTTAACAGCACCCCCACCAGACAGGAAACACACTTACCAGGTGGGTTTTTGAGAATGAACGTGCAGAGTTTATGGTTTGTGTCAAGCATGCCTCGATAGCCACAGGCTTTGCAAGAGTTGCCTATAGTTTGTTTCTTAGGATTGACATGCTGTAAGAGAGAACAACCTCCAGTTAACACACCACTCACAGAACTGTGCATTAAAGCCTAACCGTGATGTTTACGTTATCACCTCCACAGGATTAAGCCAGAGATTTAAATAGTCTCTATCACCCATAACGGACCAAATTTAGAAGTAGCCATTTATCTCAGAAGCTTTGAGCTGTCAAGAACGTAAAACCTTCCCAAAGGGGATATGTGTACAGGATTTTCTCTTTATGGCTATTCAGGACAGCTAGTATCTTCACACCACTTCCATCAACCCCCAACCAAGTGTTCCCATGTTACTACCACTCCCACAGCAGAACACTCACCAGATCAGTTTCAGGATTCTCACACTCAGGACAGAGAACAAATTTTTTAATGAATCCATCCAACATGTCTTGCAGCTTATTCGCCTCATGAGATCCATTGACAATGTAACGGTCATTCTTAACATCAAACTGGGTCTGTGCTCCCAGCTCACAACCAAAAAATTTGGTAGGATCTGTAAAAAAAGCACAATAACCACCACTGTCCTCACATCTTCACTGTGATTTTTCACAGCAAGTACGTCATCGCTTCTTTCTGTTTATTATTTATTCTGAGATAATTACC